CCACAAACAGCATAAAGACTGACCCCTCCACAAACAGCATAAAGAATGACATTCCCCCCACAAACAGCATAAAGAATGACATTCCCCCACAAACAGTACGAAGACTGAACCCCCTCCAGAAACAACATGAAGACCGACACTCCCCCACAAACTGTATGAAGACCGACGCCCTCCACAAACAGCATGAAGACTGACCCCCCACAAACAATATGAAGACTGACCCCCCACAAACAATATGAAGACTGACCCTCCACAGACAGCATGAAGACTACCCCACCCCGCAAACAGCATGAAGACTGACACCCCCCCCCCCAACACAAACAGCATGAAAACTGGACCCCCCACCCACCCCCCCAAAAAAAACCAGCATGAAGACTGACACCCCCCCAACCCACCCCAACCCCCAATACAGGGTCAGCTATGCTTTCTATTTTTGTTTTTGTCCTTGTGTTAACAAAATATCTCATAAACCATTAAAAGTTTCTTGGTGGATTTCTCAGAAAGTAGTTGTTGGACGTACCCCTACAAACGTTTAACTTTTGAAGCCAGTGTATTTCAAAATGGCAGCCGCAGCCTGAGCTGACACAAACATGGCTGCTGCACAGTCAGTTGCCGATGTTGACCTAAACTTTGCTGTGGTAGTCGTTGAGTCATCCCCAAGACTTACTCCGAGCACCAAAAGATCACAGTTTAAAACCTCCCCACTAACTATTAGAGTCAACCATCTTTCTGTTAGCAAAATACCTAACAGAACACTGGATGGATTTTAATGAAACATTGAGGATGTAATCATTGGACGAACCTCTGCAGCCGATGAACATTTGATATGAACTCATGGCTGCCTCAACCTGATGCTCTGAGAAGACACAGACGGGAGTCAGCTTCACACAAATCAGGTGTGATAGAAGTTGAGGCTGATCAGCAACATGTACATTTATTGTTTGAACAATTTCCACAAATGTAAATTTCTCATCTATTCTTCACCTGCTTTGGTGTTTCATCTACAGCAGTCTCTACGGAGAGGCAGGGCACACCTGGACAGGTCTCCAGTCTGTCACAGGGACATCCTGGACAGGTCTCCAGTCTATCACAGGGACACCATGGACAGGTCTCCAGTCTTTCACAGGGACACCCTGGACAGGTCTCCAGTCTACCACAGGGACACCTGGGACAGGTCTCCAGTCCATCACAGGGACAAAGACAGACAGAGACAAACGAGACAAACAACCATTCACTCTCTCACTCACACCTAGGAACAATTTAGAGTTACCAATCAGTTTAACATGCATGTTTATGGTATGTGGGAGGAAACTGGAGAAAACCCATGCAGCACGGTGAGAACATGAAAGGTTCAGACTAATTTTTAAAAATCAACATGGGTCAAAGAAAAAGTCATGTTGGTTGACCTCAACTCTTTTTTTCCTTTCTTTCGTGTTCGGATACTCCTGGAAAATAATTGAACCAATTTTCAAAGTTTCCAAGGTTTAATATCAGTAAACCTGTCTGGATTGGCCGTGGTGCCTGAACGCAGCACCTGTTTTCAGAGCTCATCTGCTGTTCTGAAACTTTGTTGTGCACGTTTAACTGAAGTTTGAAAGAATCGCAGACACATTTAACCCCCCCCCCCCCAGTTTGATCTGTTAAATCAGTTCAACATGAGCGATGGTGAGTGACCTCGCTGAAAACCGTTCTGTGGTCCGCAGGGAGCTCCTAGACCAGATATTTATCTTTTCCTTTTAGCTTTACCGAAGCGGCGGCAGTTCCCATGGCTTCCATAACGCAGCTCAGCTGTGATGCAGAAACAATCAGAGCTGAACGCTCCCCGAGGCTGTCTGACCGAGCCGTTCCCATGGTTGGGGTGGCGTTGTTCAAGCGTGGTGGAAAAGGATCAACAGTCTGTGGCGTTCACAAAGGATCAACAGTCTGTGGCGTTCACAGGACGTTGCCTTCAAGAACACTGTAAATCTTTCCCAGGCACACCGTGTGAGACTCCCCTCTGTCATCAGCCATTAGTACACACAGATTTACAGCCACCTTCAAGTTCCTGACACACAACAGTTCACTGTGCGTCAGACAGACACATTGGTTGGTGTGGACTCCTCCGACTTTAATCTAAGGACAGCGTCTGTACATCTGCTCTGCGTTATCACCTCAGGTTAGAGCAACATGGCCTCCCCAGCCACCCTGTCTTTCATATTCCCCACAGTGCTCGGGCTCATTTCCTGCACGCCAACATGCTCCGAACCGCTCAAAGGAAAAGCGACATTTAGCCTGAAATCTCTGGAATGCAGAAGTGGAAGTCAGAGCTCTGATCGGTGCTTCTACACAAGTTTTGTGGCGTGTGGCAGCTGCTACTGATTCGTTATATTTTCCTCAGGGAGGTGGCAGTGTTGGTCAGACGACACACAACACGATGCAGGCGCACACACTCTCAGGTTAGACATCACAAATTAACTGTGCAAATTGACCCAACATCTCCGTCTTTGAGATACCAAGGTGTCAGCGTCTAATGCAGTCATATTTAGTTGACCTCTGACCTCTTGCACATTTCATCTCTCTTTTTCAGAGGCAGTGGAAAGAGGAAACCTGGCTGGTTTCTCTCAGCAGCAGCAGGTCGATGGTGTGGAACAAGTGCACTGGCCTGCTGCTGTCACGTTCACGTCCGAGGATTCACCAAGTCCCATTAAAGAGTGATACAAAACCCTGTTGCTGGTCCCTGAATGCATCACCTGATCTGCTACACACCTGTTCTAATGCAGAGGAGTATGACAGGTACCTGAAGGCGGGGCTTTAGAGCGGACTCACCTGATCTAAACTTGCTTCGTATCAGTACGGAGTGTTCGGAGCTCAGCAGAGTCATAATGATGTCCGTACAGATCCAGAGTTCAAAAGTTGTGAAAACACGGCATCCACACGTCGACCCCTGAGGTCACCTCTGGACCACAGGCTCATGTGACACACAGTGGCTCCCGGCTGCCACATTAACAGCTCGGAAAGAAAACTAATGAACAGAAGATGTAAAAACCCCAGACTGGTGTTCAGGACTCCAGCAGTCCTCTGTCTGCTGCTCTTCTCTGCTCTCTCCCTGCAGTGGTGGGAGCTCTCTGGGCCGATGGTCCCATTCAGCTGAGAGAGAGTTCTGAGCGGGGCTGGGGGACAACGCACACAGATATGCCCCACTCAGGGAGGGGCCAACCGAGGCCAGGGTTTCCTTCAAACCCCGCCTGCCGCAGCCTCCGAGGCCCAGCAGGGTTTGGCTGATGACTTCTTCCTCCCCGCCCACTGGAGTAAATATATCAGCCTATCAGCCCAGCTGACTGTCAGAGAGGAGACAGAGGCAGAGGAGGGTGGGGGGCAACTAGGAAGGTCAGGGGGAGAAGACCACTAAAGATCAAAAAAGGTTCAAATCCAGTCCAAGGAAGGAGATGAGACTAGTTTTATAGTGAACAGCACTGACTATTAACGATTTGAGCTTTCAGATGAACACGAAGGAGATGAAATCAAAACTATCATCTGATGTCAAAATCAGGTACGGGGTGTCCAATCCTGGTCCACGAGGGCCACTATCCTGCTTGTTGTACCTGTTTCCATGCCCCAACACACCTGATTCAGTGTTGTTCTGAAGAAGCCTCTTAAATGGTAAATGTACTGTACTTATATAGCACCTTTCTATCTAGCCAAGATACTCAAAGCACTTTACAACACCCATTCACACAGCACTCTACTACATCTCTACAAAGATAATCTGAATCTGTAGATATTAATCAGAGCTTTAGTTCACATTCATACACTGATGGGACACACATAAGAGACAATGAGGGGTTAGTGTCTTGCCCTGGGACACTTCAGCATGTGACTGCTGATGGAATCGAACCCCACAACTCTTTCCATTGGAGGATGACTGCTCTAACCACTCAGCCACAGCTGCCCCCCTAAATCACCCATTAATCTAATCAGGTGTGTTGGTGCAGATAAATCTCCAAAACATGCAGGATAGTGGCCCTCAAGGACCAGAACTGGACAACTCTGGTTTAAAACAATGGCTCTCTGAAAAATCACAAAATTATTTAACCTTCAGTTGAGATATTTGGTTAAACTCTGTTCACGTTCCACTTGTTGCAAAGCATGACAACAGACCCAATAGCTGAGGAGCAGTCAGGTTAGAATGAACTCTTGAGTGCTTCTATCGAGAGCAGAGCCTCCTAAATATCTGCCAATAACCTGAACCCACTGATGCTGTTAGTCTGACAGAATGTTTTACGATATAATCCAGACAAGCAAAAAGTCAGACAAGAGATGCGTTCTTGTTTTTGTTTTGGATCTCTTATGTATTTTCTTTCAAAGAGCTGCTGTCTCAGTAAAACACAGATTTGATGGTTCAGAGATTATAGCTGAATCAGGATGGAAAGATGGGGGTTAGGGACCAGACAGGCTTTGTGTTTGAACCCCGCTGAAGAAAATCTGAATATCTGGTTTTAGAATAAAATTAATTTATTTTTATCCAAGAAGTAAAGTTTCACCTTCTAGCGGAACAACGACCCAAAACATCCAGTCAGAATGACGATGGAATGATTTAGATCAAAGTGTATTCACATGTTATGATGGTCCAGTTAAAGTCCAGAACTAAACCCAACTGAGAATCTGGGGCAGTGAGACTTCAATTTTCTTTCCATCCCTTCTGACTGAGTTTGAGGTATTTGGCAAAAAACTACAGGCAAAAAATTTAGCATCTAGATGTGCAAAGGGTGGATTGCTCTTTTCGGGTCAAGGGTGAGGTTCTGCCTCAAGTGGAGGCGTTCAAGTATCTCAGGGTTTTGTTCATGAGTGAGGGAAGAATGGAGCGTGAGATTGACAGATGGATTGGTGCAGCATCTGCAGTATTGCGGACTCGGTACCGGTCCGTTATGATGAAGAGGGAGCTGAGCCGTAAGGCAAAGCTCTCTGTTTACCGGTTGATCAACGTTCCTACCCTGACCTATGGTCATGAACTCTGGGTAGTAACCAAAAGAATGAGATCATGGATACACGCGGTTGAAATGAGTTTCCTCTGCAGGGTAGCTGGACTCTCCCTTAGAGATAGGGTGAGAAGTTCAGTTATCCAGGAGACTCGAAGTAGAACCACTGCTCCTCCACATTGAAAGGAGCCAGTTGAGGTGGCTCAGGCATCTGGTAAGGATGTTTCCTGGGCGCCTCCCCAAGGAGGTGCTTCAGGCATATCCAACTGGGAGGAGACCACGGGGAAGACCCAGGACACATTGGAGAGACTATCTTTCCTCTGGCCTAGGAACATCTTGGAGTCCTCTTAGTCTAGGTCTCTCTGCCTAAACTGCTGCCCCCATGACCCGACTCCAGAATGGATGGACGGATGAAGATGCATCCCAAAAGACTTGCAGCTGGAATTGGTTCTACAAAGTACTGGCTCATGGGGTGCTGAATACAAATGCATTCCATACTTTTCAAAATGTTCATTGCAAAATAACTTGAAAATCATTTATAATTTTCCTTTTACTTCCAAATTATGTCCTATTATGTGTTTGTCCATCCCATGAAACCCCAAATGCGTGGAAAAGTTAAAGGGTGGAAATCATTTTTCACATTTTAAGCCCTTCTCATGTGAGGACTGCTGTTTTTCCACCAACTTCCTGATGTAGTTTGCAGATAATATAAAACGTGATGCGTTCAGTTCTTTTCTCCACATCGTATGGAAAAATGTAGACACAGCACTGATCAGTCAACGGGCGCTCCTCCGGCACGCCTCACTGCTTCCACCTCCCCATCCATTTTAATCTCCGCTCACCATAAACACGGCTCGGCTTGTGTTGCAGAGCAGCTTCTCCACACGCCAGTGACACGCTCACACCAAAACACGCCATATTTTAGCGTAACAAACGATGTGCCTTATCTGCATGCCGTTGTTCTGACGTGCGATGCAAAACACCAAACAAAGCTCAAATATTTACACAGAAGCTGCTGGGGCTGCAAATCTACCCACGACAGGCGCAAGTGCGTGTGTCATGTGTGTGCTGTGTATGAAACGCACACGCGGGGCTTTAATTAGCAGGTGAAAGTGCTTAAAGGAAAGGTCTTTGACAGCGTACACAGTGTGTCGGACGGATTCCTGAGGAGGTCACCCAGACCCAGTTTAATCCTCCCCTTTAATTGGGCTCCATGTCAACGGATGTGACAAGTCTCATCTGAACCGTCTGGAGCCACGCGTGTGTGTCTGTGTGTGTGTTTTGTAACTGAGTGCACATCATTCTACATGTGCAGATGTGTACCCTCCATCTCGTTGGAGGGAGAACTCGACGGCATGAGTGCGGCCCCTGCTCGGACGTCTCTCTCTGTGAAAAGCTACAGAGTGTGTTTATTGGCGAACCGTGCAGACGAGTAGATCAAAAACCGACTGTTAGTGTTTGCTGAGATTTCTTGTTTTAGACGGAGCAGATGTGCGAAGCTAAGACGACCCAAAAGGCCCCTCAGAAAAGCATAACAGTGAAGTTAGCACTCGTCGGGGGGATTATAACACTTGTTAAATAAACCATGTGGATATTTTTTTCTGTTTTTGACTGGACTGTCGTATTGTCGCTGCTGTTGGTTCCAGTAAATAACTCCAGTGGTATGTAGGAAGTCTTGCTGCTGACAACAACGGTCACATCTTCTGAATGCCTTAAATACCAAATGCCATCCGAGGAATCCAGCTGTCCTTCGGTCGTGTCCCTCAGAGCCACAGGAGGAAGTGTACCGGCTGCTCCGGTTCGGTGTCGTATGGATGAGACATGCAGTGAAGAACATGTTGCAGCTGTTCCACTGAAGGAACATTTTAAATAATCTTACCCATGCATCCAGCCTGCACTCTTCAGTGGAAGACAATTACAAGACAGAACCAAGAGGCTCTAAAGCCTGTTCAACTGGCTGTTTCCACTACTGGATGAAAAACACTTTGCCTTTCTGGTTAAATTACCTAGACATTTACTGCAGCAGTGAGAAACAAACCCACACATGCAGATATGTTTTGTAAATCGTTCACTCTGCTGAGATCATGTTTCTCTTTCCGTACATTGTTCGGCGTTTAATTTATTCTGCAACTTTTTTTTGCGCTACTTCAACAATTCATACATGAAAACATTCGGCTCATTCAGAACATTCCTGCTCTGACTTTTGGTATTTCTACAATTTATTCTTTTAAGTATTTTTTTCTTTCACAGCCTGCTTTTCTCATTGAAAATGAACGGAGCTCTTCATTATTAAATTCAACTTTTTATGCTTCTTTCAGCGTCTTTCTGCTGATTTCAGATATTTTTAGCTAGTTTTCTGCTACTATGAGCATTTTTGTTTTTTGTTTTCTGCTACATTGTAAATAATTTAGTATTTTTTTGTGCTTCCTTCTGCTCATTTCTGCATGTAGTGAATTTTTTCCAGGTAATTTCAGAAGTTTGAAGTTCTTTTTAGTTTATTTTTGCACCTTTTGTGCTCATTTTGGCTTTCTTTTGCTGATTTGACTGTTTTATTTTACTTTTCTTAAAAAAAAAAAGCTAATTTAAACCTTTTCTGTTCTGTTTTTTTTTTAATGCTGTTTTTCCTCTTTTTTGTGCTCTTTTTTAGCTATTATTCAAATAGGCTTTAGCTTTTCCAGTAGCTTTTAGCAAAAAACATTCTGCAGTAATTTTTTCAGGAAATGCAAACTCTCCAGTTCAGGGTTAGTTTTGGTTGGATGGGGCTCCACGAGGATGTCTTTCTGTGTGGAGTTTGCATCATTTTCTCGTGTATGTGTAGGTTTTCTCTGACTATTCTAGTTTTCTTTCATGTCCAGAACCACAGCTGTTCAATTCACTGGCTGCTCTAAAATATCCCTGGTTCTGTCAGAGGTTTCTTGA